AGCCGAGCGCTCACAGAGGCAGCAATCAGATCCCTATCTGTCATCCCATTGGGTCCCTGCATGGCTTATCCTGGCAGCACGCCGGCAGCTCTCATCCCAGCCCTCCCAGCCGGCCACTGGCTGCGGGGACAGCCCTAGTCCCCTCGCCTCGGGTCAGTGGCATGGCACAGCTGGCGTCGTATGGCACAGGGATGCTCAGAGCAGCCAGGCAGGGCATGTTCCCTGTTGGGATGAGCCCAGGGAAGGCAGGGAAGCTTCAGCAGGTCTATAGCTTGGGGGTAAGTTCTCCTGCACCCGTGGGTGCTTTGCTTCTCTTTTGGGAGTGGGCGCACTCCGAACGGGATGGGGCTGCCTGCTCTCGTCTGGCAAGGGCTGGTGCCCTGGTGCTGCACAGCGAGGGGCTCCCATCCCGCAGGCAGGGCTGGATGGAGGCAGCGAGCACATGAAGGAGCATCCCCACGCCCCTGCCTCGCTGTCCTCACACCCCCCTGGGGGTCACCCGCCCCAGGGATCATCCCGGTGCCCACACATGGTGCCACAGACAGGGCACCCATCCGGGGCCGGCGCGGTAGTGCCAGGACTGCGCAGCACAGCAGGTCGGGTGCTGCCCGTCCCTGCCCCCGCCGCAGGATGTGCCGCTTTCTGCATCTTCAGCTCCCATCGCCATAGCAACAGGCTCAGAGCTTGGGTACCCGCCGCGCCGGCTCCTGCATCCCGCTCCGCCATCCTGCCACCGGGACCGGGCTGGCAGGTGCTGCCTGCACCGTGCGGTGCGGCACGGCATGGCTTGTCATCCTGGGAGCTGGGGGTGATGGGTGCCTCCGGCGCCAGACCAGCATCCCGCTGGATGTCCCACTCAGGCTGAGCGGGGCCATGGAGCTCTTCTCTTCCTGGAGCATCAGAAAATAACATCCGTTAAAACTTCTTCCCAGCACAGGATGGGAAAAAGGAAAAAAAAAATTACTTTCTGGGAACAGTTTTTTTTTTTGCCAGCAAGCTCCCAAGAAGGTCTGGGGTTGGAGGGTTCCTGTCAGGAAGGCAGAGGGCTGTCACCGTCCCCAAAGGACAGGGTAACAGCATGCAGCTGGCAGTGCTCGAGCTGAAGAAGTGTCACCACAGGGCAAAACGGGGCTGAGGAACAGGACCTGCTCCACTTGCCACGCTGCCTGGTGAGCTGCTCCCAGCTCTGCCTCTGGAATAAATTCGTTACTGAGCTGCAAAGCAGGCTGGTGGGGCAGAGTGGCCAGAAGCCATGGGGATGGGCTGCACTCCGTCAGGTTTTACGCTGCTCAGGAGGGACAGGTGCAGGCAGCGGGGCCAGGGCTCTCATGGCTCCTCTGCCTCTGCAGCACCGGGCCCTGCGATGCCGTTTGGCTGCGTGACACTGGGGGACAAGAAAGACTACAACCAACCGTCCGAGGTGACCGACAGATATGACCTGGGCCAGGTCATCAAAACGTGAGTGCGTCCCTGCCCGGCCCCGGGAGTGCCCACGGGGACCCCTACCCTGCACCAGTTGGGGAGCTCGGTGCCTTCAGGGCTGGGGTGCGTTCCCTGCAACGAGTGCTGATTCCAGGAGGGCTTTGCCGTCTGCTCTGAGCACAGAATTGCTGCCGGTGCCGAGGTTCGCCGCCGCTGCTGCTGCTCGCCGCAGCCTGGCGCCTGCGGTTAACCCTCCCTCTTCCCTCCCAAATATCTGCTGGGATTGCAGCAGTTCCTCAAAATCGCGGCTCCCCGGTGCACCTCCCGAAAGCAGGACCGTCTGCTCTGGCTGTGGCGGAGGAAGGGGCTCTGGGGAAGTTCTCTCACCTCCTGCCTTCCCAAATGCGGCGTTACAGTAGTGTGGAGGCATGCTGCTGTGCAGCTCAGTATTGATGGTTCTGCAGCATCCATCCGGCCGTGAGCTCTGTGCAGGGACAGGGGCCGTCCCACAGGATGCTCCGGGAGCCCATGTGGCCCTGTTGTGGGGAAGGGGCTTTTTCTTCACCCCCTCCGCCCCCCCACTTTCCCAATGCTTTGCTTATCCCTTGCTGATTCCTTGCAGGGAGGAGTTCTGCGAAATCTTCCGGGCAAAGGAGAAGACATCGGGGAAGCTGTACACCTGCAAGAAGTTCTTGAAGCGGGACGGGCGCAAGGTGCGGAAGGCTGCCAAGAATGAGATCATCATCCTGAAAATGTGAGTGCCAAGGCCGGGGGGGGGGGGGGAGAGGGGGATGGGTCTTCTTGGGTTGGTCCCAGCGAGTCAGTGGGCAGCTCCCATCCATCCACCCACTGCCACCACCGTCCCGTGGGCGCTACAGGGTGAAGCACCCCAACATCCTGCAGCTGGTGGACGTCTACATCACGCGCAAGGAGTACTTCATCTTCCTGGAGCTGTAAGCATGGCGTGGGGCGGCGGGTGGGCGCTGTGCCGGGGGGCCACCGCAGCCTGCTCTCGGCACCGGCAGGGCCACGGGCCGGGAGGTTTTCGACTGGATCCTGGACCAGGGCTACTACTCGGAGAAGGACACCAGCAACGTCATCCGGCAGGTGCTGGAGGCTGTCGCATATCTGCACTCTCTCAAGATCGTTCACAGGAACCTCAAGGTGGGAGCTCAGGGTCCCTGGTGGGCACAGGCACCTGTGGGTGCCGGTGCAGCCTCACCACGCTCACGCTCCCTGATCTGGCAGCTGGAGAACCTGGTGTACTACAACCGCCTGAAGAACTCCAAGATCGTCATCAGTGACTTCCACCTGGCCAAGCTGGAGAATGGTCTCATCAAGGAGCCCTGCGGCACCCCTGAGTACCTGGGTGAGGGCGAGCTGGGCGGGCACAGAGAGGGGGCAGGGGGGGCACAGACTGCCTGTCTCCAGGGTCAGTGTCGTGGCAGGTCCCTTGCCGGTGAACATCGGTGCTCCTGATGAGTTTCCATCACTCAGGGACCCATCCTGGGTGCTCCTGGCAGTTCTCTCCCATTCCCATCACCCTGCAGCTGATGCTGGCTGTACCCTGGGGGTCCCTTCTGCTCCTCATCACCCCAGGGACCAATCCGGAGGGCCCCTGTTGGGCCCCTGCTCTGCTGATGACTGCTCTCTGTGGGTTCCTGGGTGTCCCTGGTGGGTTATTCCCACTTCCCATCACACAGAGGAGCAATCGTGAATGCTCACAGCGGGTCCCTCCTGCTCTTCATCGCCCCAGGCGCCCATCCTGATTCTTCCCAAAGGGTTCCTCCTGCTCTCCATCATCAGAAGTACCCATACTGGGTCCCTCCTGCCGCTCATGGGTGACCTGTTGGGGCACACCATGCACGGCCACCCTGGAGGAGCAGGGAGATGGGTTTTCCAGTGGGGGAAATGGTGACCCCAGAGCGGGACTGGTCCCCCACTTCCACCATCCTGTGTTCTGTAGCTCCGGAGGTGGTGGGGCGGCAGCGGTACGGGCGGCCGGTGGACTGCTGGGCCATTGGTGTCATCATGTACATCCTGTGAGTGTGGGGTTGGAGACGGGGTTGGGGGGGCTCTGGGCTGGGGGGGAACACTGAGCACACACCCCACAGCCTTTCGGGGAACCCCCCCTTCTACGAGGAGGCGGATGAAGATGACTACGAGAACCATGACAAGAATCTCTTCCGCAAAATCCTGGCCGGGGACTACGAGTTCGACCCCCCCTACTGGGATGACATCTCGCAGGCGGGTGAGCTGTAGTACTTGAGGGGGGGCAGGGGGGACACGGGGTTCCTGTGTGTCCCGCCTGCGCTGACCCTCCTGACCCCAGCCAAGGAGCTGGTGACACGGCTGATGGAGGTGGAGCAGGACCAGCGGATCACGGCGGAGGAGGCCATCTCCCACGAATGGTGAGGGGCTGCAGGAGCAGCGGGGGCCCAGGGAGGGCGGTAGGGGCCGCTCACCACCCCTTTACTGCCCCCAGGATCTCTGGCAACGCTGCCTCCGACAAGAACATTAAGGACGGCGTCTGCGCTCAGATCGAGAAGAACTTCGCCAGGGCCAAGTGGAAGGTGGGTGGGCGCAGCCCCGTGCCTCAGTCTCCCCCCGGGGGTCCTGACGCCCACTCGCCCTCGCAGAAAGCCGTGCGAGTGACCACGCTCATGAAGCGGCTGCGGGCGCCCGAGCAGACGGAGTCGGCCCCTGCAGCCACCGCCGCCACCACCGCCACCGCCGCCACCGCCACCACGGACGCCGCGGCCCCCCTGACCCCCGCCACGCCGCCCACCGCCAGCCCGGCCGCTGACACGTGTAACGGGGCCGGGGACACCGCCGCCGCCGCCCTCGCCGAGGCCCCCAGCGAGCCGAGCGGCTGAGCGGCAGCCCTGTATATAGCCCGGCATGGCCCCCGCACCCCTCGCCTGCGCCCCACTTTTCTACGTGCCCCCAGCGGAGAGCGGGGCAGCGCCCTGCATGGAGCCCGTCCCCTCCCGGTCCCCGCCGCTCTCTCAGTCTGTCCCCCGCCGCCTCCCCCGTCCTCTCCCCCGGGGATGCTCAGAGATACCCGCGGACAACCCCCGGGGACGCGCGCTCACGGGCCGGGCCCGAGGCGGGACGGAGGGGGGGGTCGGTCCTTCCATCGCCCGCCTCCGACCTGCCGGCCCCCGGGGGAGGGGGGCGGAGCACAACGGGGATCCCCGAAGCGCCGCGCCCAGCCGGCCCCCCCCCGTCCCCGCTTCCCCCCCCCGCCCCGGGCCGCTGCATGCCGCGCCCCGCGGCCTCTATCTCTGGCAAATAAAGACCCGCCGAGGGCAAACTGAGAAAGCAGCAGCGCCGCCCGCCCGCCTCCGTGAGGGGTCGTCGCCCGGGAGGGCCGGGGTGGGCGAGGGCGGGGCGGGGCGGGCCGGACTCCAGGACGCCGGGTCGAGGGCGGGCCGCTATACGGGCCGCGCGGGGCCGGGCTCGGCTCGCCGTCGGGCGGACTCGCGGCGCCCCGCGGCAGGGGGGCGGCACGGCGGCCAGCGAGACCAGCCCCGCGGGGAGCGGGCCGAGCGAGGGCCCCGTGACGTCGCTTCCGGCCTGGACCGGAAGCGGCGGCAGGGCGGCCGGGTTTGAATCGCGCGGCGCCGCGCGGCCTCGCGCTGCCGGTCCCGCCATGCCGATCCGCGCGCACTGCACCATTTGCTCCGACTTCTTCGACAACGCGCGCGACGTGGCCGCCGTGCCGTGCGGGCACACGTTCCATCGGGCATGGTGAGCGGCGGGCGGGCGAGGGGAGCGGCCTCTTCCTCAGGCCGCGGTGCCGAGCCGAGGCGCGGCCTTCCCCTCGGTTGCGGCTCGGCCCGCGGGCGGTGTCGGTCTGAGCGGCCGTTTCCCTCTCCCTCCGCAGCCTGTTCCAGTGGTTCGACACGGCGCCCAGCCGCACCTGCCCGCAGTGCAGGATCCAGGTATCGCCCTCGCTGTCGGCGCCGCGTTTCTATGGCACCGCGCGCTGCTGGAGCCTCCGGCCTGGAGCCCCGGGCCTGGGGGATGAGGGGAGGGCGGATGGAGGCGAGCGCGCCCTGCTGATATCTGTGCCGGAGCCTTCGCTGCTTGGTGTAACGCTGGGGAGGGCAGGAAGGAAACCCCGGGCCCTCAGAGCGGCGTTTCTGGGGATGCTGTCAGGCAGACAAACTGCTGCCGTGGTTCTTAGCACCGAGTCCTGGCTCTCGTTGACGATGTGCTGTGCTGGCAAGGGAGGAGCTGCGCTTCTCTGGAGGCTGCTGTGTTATCGGCCTCGCAGGGCTTGGTGCGTGCAGCTGAAGGAGGGATCTGGTGCAGGCTTCCAGCTTGCTGTTGCTGGGACTTGCTCTGTGCTCGTGCTTTTTTTCCTCTCAAGGTCTCGGCCCTTGTTCTTTCCCTGACTTGTTGATTCCCTCTGTTCTTCGCTGCTGCTTACATCTCTGGGTTACCATGGAGTTATCGCGAAATAACATCTTATGTAGCAGTAACTATGCAATTAGCTGGTGTCATGACTGTATATAATACTTAAAACACAAAGCTGTAACTGCATGGGGGAGGTGTGGAGAGCTATCAAATTCAATTACAGCACCTTCTGCCTGCAGAAAGCAGCACGTACTTCTGTCTTTGGATTTGGCATCATGTTAGCTCAGCGTCAGCTGCTTGGGCCTTAGCTGCCAGAGAACAGACTGCGCTCGATTCAGAAGTGCCTGAATCTTTCTGCTGCAGCTCAGGAGCTTGGCTGGAGTCGTGCTCCCAAAACTGAGTGGGGGGCCTGCAGTTGTGCTGCTGAGCAGAAGCAGGATATTGCCAGGGATGGCGTTGCACGTGGACTGACGTGCCTCCTGCGGCCTTGTGGCAAGGTGCCACCTTCTTCCCCTGTGTGCGTCTTCTATATGTAGTTTCTTTCTGTGTGTGCCAGTCAACCTCTCCCCTCTCTGCTTCCAGGTCAGCAAAAGACACATAATCAATAAGCTGTTCTTTGATGTTGCCCTGGAGGAGCAGACAGCACTGGATGCAGAGACCTTGCAGGTATTTGATGGGGTTCTTCTATCCTGTGGTGCTCTGAGCAACTTAGAAACATGTCTGGGAATGCTGGTTCTTTGCCACCAGCTGTTTCCCGAGCTGCTGCTTGCTGTGCTATGCTCACATTTCAGACCCAAAGCGCTTCACTGTCTCCTGCCCGTACATATTTTCTGTCATGGTCCAGTCTAAGCTCTGCCATGAGGCGGTCTCTCATGTGCTGGTTTAGTCCAACCAAATCTCAGATAGTGTCTCAAGAGGCCTCCTCTTCTGCTTTATTGTTCTTTCTTATTGTTCTTACTTAGTCTGGAAGCCTCCTGAAGGAGAATCAAGTAAGTATCCAACTGCTTCTTCTCCACTGGGTCTCAAAGCTCCTCTCAGTGGTTGTGTGGGAATGTGACTGCAGAGATTTTGCCAAAATGCACGTGAGGAAAAAGTGCTGAATTCAGTGATCTGCTGCAGGTATCTGTGGCCTGACAGGTGGGTTTATTTGCATGGGCTCATAAGGAAGTGGGACAGCAATGGTGACTTGGTTTTCCTAGAGACATTAGGAAGTGGAACCGTCAGAAGCTGCACCCTCAGGAGCATGCAGTGCTGCTGCTGGGTCTCCATGGGAATTCCAGGCTGGAGTAGAAGAGCTGAGTGATGTTCTCCAAGAGCCAAACTCTGCTGTGGAGAGCTGTGTGTGAGGAGGGATTAAGGCACAGGGGCTGTTCTGTGCTCTACTCCGTTGCTTAATATGGATGATGCATGGCTCCTTATGTGTGGAGTTATCTGTTCCAAAAAAAGTCATCAGTTGACCTCGGTATAATGGGATGCTTGTATCCTCTTGTGTTTAGAATCAGCATGTGCAGCAATTACCATAATTAGCATCGTCATGGCAACTGCTATATGTATACTGTATGTTTTTAAAATAAAGCAAGCCAGACTGTGATGTCAGTAGCACTGTCGTTCTCAAAGACCACCAATAAACTGGAGACCAGATCTGCGTGCGGAGGAAATGAAAAAGCATCTCTGGGCACTGGAAGCTGTGCGCCTCAGATGCAAAGCAGTGGCTTGAAGGAGGTAAACATTGCCTTTAGGATGCATTCAGATCGGGTCTCATAAGTGTAAATAGATGAGTGACTCAGTGATGGGCTGTATGGTGAAAAATGCCCTAGAAAAGCTGTTTTTTCCTTCCTCTTATCCACTCCCCAGGGTCAAAGATGGGCTCCCTCAGCTTTTCCCTCCTTGTAGACTGCGCTAAAGGCCTGGCTCTCTTCCTCTCACAAGAGATTGTAGGCGCTGTCTTGCTGCCATGCAGGTCTACAAAGTTTATTTTGTTGCCATTAGAGCAGTGTTGTCTAGACTTCAGCGCAGGTATTTTAATGAGGGAGCTGCAGTCACTGTGTAATAGGGAAGAACCAAATATTTTCTGTGTAGAGGAGCACGGTTGGCTGATAGGGTGCTACTGCCCCATGGACAGCTCTGAGGGTTGCTCCAATCAGTCAGCTGTGTAATCAGCTGGAGCTGTGCAGCCTGCAGATGCCTTGAAATGAGAGCCTGGCCTCTGGAGAGGCCAAGAGGCGAGAGGGTGTGCTTCCAGGTGCTAGAAAGCTGAGGGTGAAGCTGTGTCATCCCAGAGAGACACAAACCTGTTATGCTAGAAGTGCTTGCAAGAATTGCCTCGTGGCATTCTGATGCAGAATTACCCAAATTATCTTCTGAGTGATCAGCCTTTGCTGATCCCCACTCTCACTTTTGCTCTGAAATACTTGGGGTTGAATGAGAGCTGAAGCTGCTCTGCTTCTGGCTGACTGGCAGGCGTGGGTTTCAGCTAACGCTGCGAAGGTATCCTGGTTCCCTGGAGTCGATGCAGACCACAGGTTGAGCGCTGCAGCGTATCTCAGCTTTTTAGTGCTGAGCCTGTTTGTTGGTTGGCTGTTTTTTTTTTTTCCTGTACTGCTTTTAAAGATGGTTCTCAGCGATCAGAACAGTCTCCATGTTTCTGCTGTGGGAGTAGAAATGTGAGTTTTGGGGAGAGACGCAGCCCCGGGGCTTGCTGGAGCCCGGCATCCTGCTTGTTTGTATCTAGGGAGCTGAGAGCCCATCTTATGGAGGAGATTGGGGTACTTTGCTCAGCTTGGTAAAAGGGAGGCAGGAGGGGAGGGTTCCTGCCTATAAACCTGCCAGGGAGGGTAGAAACCTGGGAGCACAGCTGACGGCTCGTGGTTGCAATATCTTGTGGCAGCATTCTCTTGTAATCAGGCTGGCAGAGAGACAAAGGAACTTGCATCTATCAGAGTGAAAACTGGGAGCAGCCTTTAGGAACAGTGGTGGAAGATGAGGGATTTCAGATTAAGTTGATGAATGAGGTAATGTTACATAGCTGCCTGCGGTAGCCCAGGATTTCTTTTGCTATCATGGTAATTAGCACATCTTGTGAGCTCACTAATCGTTCCTGAATAGGACTCAGAGGAGGCTGCATCAGAATAGTTCCTGCAGCAGAGCTATTTCTACCTCAGCCCTCTGTTGTCCCCCTGGGGGCAAATCTAAGTCAGCTCTGCTAGGCTTTACCCTCTGTCCCTTCTGCTTACCCAGCTTTAGATCCCATGCTCTCCTTCCCTCATTTGCTGTCACGAGCAGAGCTTTGCTTTGGTCCTGTCAGCTCTGTGGTCACTGCTACTGCTATTCTCAGCTCAGATTTGCATGTAGCATTCCAGGCTGCACAGATTTGTGTGCTCGGCTTCAGTACTGTGTTGGCATTTTATTGTGGTTTTATTCCACTGCAGTTCCTGCCTGGCTTGTTATGTGCTTTCCTCTGCAGCTCTAACAGCTTTTTAAGTCATCTTCTGTTGACTCTTCCCTGTATTTTTTCTTTCCTCCCTCTATCTGTAACGTGGTGTGAGTTATAAATATGTATATAAATATATCTATTGCCTATCTTTATGAACTCCATCCATCCTTTGGCTGTTTTCCAGCGTTCGTAGGTTATATCACTTCATCCATAATTTAAACCACGGTTATTTGCTCCCTCTCTCCAGTCCTTAATTAAGATGTTAGAAATGCCTGACCTCCCCCAGGCCTTTGGGGTGCCCAGGGGACGTTAGGTCCCCACTGTTCAGTACAGATGGGTTCAGTGGCGATCTGTTTATGGCCGTTTGGCTCAGCTGTTGGTATCAGCATCTCACACTGCAGTGCCTTAGTGTCCTCAGAATGCTGGCGATGCCTTTTGATCTGAACGCTTTGCCACCTTTTCAGATGTTTGGATGTGCTTTTGTGCCCCCCACCTGCACGTGGCTCAAGTTCACGTCAGTTCAAAGTGGCTCTTGATCCAGATAGTCTGGCATCATCCCTGTTTTATTGCCCTGTTTAGGTAAAACATTGCAAAAATTCTTCCTGTCTGATTTCCTGAATTTCCCTGAGAGCCTTCCAAAATTATTCAGCTAAAACGAGATGACTGACAGTGTGAGAAACGCAAGGTTGACAAGGCTAAGACAAAACTGGGATCGTCTCTTCCCTCCCCGCAGAATGCCAGTTGGAGGTGCTCTTTGTGTTCCCTGCGATGGTTCTTGTTTGTAGCTTGGTGCTTGCTGCTAATGCATGCTATTCTTAGCACATGGCTGGTGCAAATGTCCTGCCGAGAAACCTCTCGGGTCCTTTGAAGATATGGTGAAAGCTTCTCTGCAGGCTGTTTCCTAATCGGGTTTTCTGTGTTGCGTTTCAGAACGAACTGGACAAGGTGAAGGCTCAGCTCTCCATGAAAGGTGAGTTCCAGCTGCCAGCAGGCCTGGGCCCTGCCTGCCTGCCTGAGCTGCTTGTCCAGGTCGGAGGGCTGAGTGTGCAGAGCATCCTCTCACTGAAGCTGAGGCCATGGTGCAGGCTGTGAGCTGCTCTGCTGGAGGAGCTTCTTCAGAGCTGTGTCTTTGAGGAGAGACTGCCCAAAGCTGTGTATAACCTGTATGACAGAGCCAGAGTTCACAAGTCAGCCCATCTCAGCAGTAAGTGGGGTCTCTTTTGCCAGTTTAGGCAAATATGGTTTTTCTTTTTGTTTTGTTTTTGTTTTTTTCTCCTCTCCCTGATTAAGAGCTGTGAGAGTCCAGCACAGCTCTGTCTGGAGTAAGCTTGCCAAAATCAAAACCTGTGGTCTGAGCACCAGGAAGCTCACAGCTGCACATGCCAAAGGCTTCTTCCTTCTACAGTGGTGCTCAAGCTGCAGTGGGAAGGTGTTGGCTTTTGTTTGGCTGTTGCAGTGCCACGTGTGTCAGTTGAAGAGCAGACGGAGCTTGCTGTGTGCACTTCCATTTTTCCCATCTTTAATTTTAGAGGATGTTTGAGGGAGGCAGGAAAAGCAAAAGCCCTGGAGACTTGTCGATGGTTTTCGAGCATCGTCTGTAGGCAGCCTGTCATCAGGACATGAGTCATGAGCAGAAAGGAAAATGTCAGTCTGAGTGACAGAAATCCAAAGTCACACTAGCAGAAAGGAAAAATCTTTGAAGAATGCCAGGGGCTCACCCACGCCCTGAGAGTCGTCTTTGCTCTGCCTTCCCTGCACGAGACAGACTCAGCTAGCCAGGAGGTTGAGGATTCGGTCCTTAGCCTGAGAGCAGCATTGCACAGCCTGCACGTCTCTATTCTGAGGCTCGTTCTCTTGCCAGCTCGGTTGAGTTTAGTGACTTGGTAGAGAGCCAGATCTTCTGGGGAAGGTGGCTGGGATTATTGCTAGGATGTTATCCAAGAAAAACTGCTTGAAGGCCTGCTCATCTTCTCAGCTTCTGGTGAGTAGAGGTTGGATGTGACATTCCCTGTCCCATCCTCTTTTCATATTGGAAAGAAGCAGTTCCCAGCTCCTGCCTCCTTTGCTATGGGCACTCTGCTCTCTGGTGGTTCTTGTGTATAAATTCTCCTCTCAAAGATGTGCTCTGTGCTCCGTGCTGTAGTAGAGCTGTGTAATTGCCAGTCCCTGATCAGCTTGCAAATGGCTCCTGAGGTGCAGAGCTCTGCACAGACCCAGCAGGCGCAGTGGGAGGCACTTGGAACGAGCTGAGAACTCATTCCTGCAGCATGGGGAGATTTGACTCCTGCCATCTGCCTCTGGGCAGCTGGGATCGGAGGAAGGGAAAGCCCAGGCTCCTCTGGTTGATGTGGAGTCTTTGCAAGTGCAGGGGGGCAGCTCCAGGCTGTGCTGCCTCTGGCGAGGGAGGGTTATTCAGACCAACAGAGAAAAAAGGCTTTACTAAGAAATGTGTTTCCTTCAACGCCTCCCCAGCCACCTGTGTGTTTCTGCTGGGATATGTTCTTCCTGAGCTTCTTCAGTCCCATGTGGCTCCCTTACTTTTGTCCAGCAGTGCCATACTTCTGTGGGATGTGTTGGCACAACCTGACGCTGGATTGCTTGGAAGGAGGAATGGCCCTTTTGGAGGGGTGCTGAGTGACTTCCTGCTGTTGTCAGGCTGGAGCCACAAGCAATTTTGACAAAGGCAGAAGGAGCTCAAGACTTCACCCTGCTCTCACCAGAGCTGCACTGAGGGCTTACTTTTCTTCGTTGCCCAGTAGCTGAACTGGCTGTTCCCTGCTTAGCTCTGACAGCTGCTGCTGATGGTTGTTCCTTTGTGAGCTGTTCTTCACTTGTCTCGCCAAAACAAATGGAAATCTGGCGCTGTTTTCACAGTCTTCTCCCTGGTGGTCAAAGCTGGGTGGCCTGCGCAAGGAGGTGGGTGCATCACACTGGTGGTGCCCTGGGGTAGGTGCAGTAGCGCAGTGATGCAGTGCTGCTGTCCCTGCTGAGCAGGCTGGCTGTTTGCAGCCCCCGAAGGGTTGCCCCGCACGCCAGGCTCTGCATGGGGAGGATGAGCTGAGGGCACAGCTCTCCAGCTCAGTGTGACTCCAGAGAGCAGTTCTGCACACGCCTGGCTTGGAGAGCATGCAGGAGTTAAGGTACATCAGCTTAATGTTAGCAGGACTGGCGCTGGAAAGCTATTAAAGGGAACATGTTATCTTTACTGAAGAAAATCATGAAGCCTGGCACTGGAAGAAGCAATTGCTTGCTACAAGCCCAGTTGCAGACAGCATTTAGGGAAATGGGTCTCTACAGGACTGGCCGACTCCTAGCAGCATGGAGACCGAGAGTGCAATCAGCTCCGGTTTGTTGTGCGACTGCTGTTGTGTGTGGGGCTGCTGAGGTCTGGGTTTCCAGGCCGTGGTTTTCTTTTTCCTTCTAGAGAAAGAAAAGCGGGAATGCCAGGCCATCGTGGATGGGCTGCGGGACACCTTGGATGTGCGCAACGCCACCATCGAGTCGCTGCAGAAGGTGCTGGGAGAAACAGAGATGCTGTGTTCCTCTCTCAAGGTACCTTTCCCATCCCTTGCTGGATTTTGGCTCTACCCGTTGCACGATCGATGTTAATTTTGTTCAGGTTGCCTTCAGGCCATGCTGATATTGACACTGCTCTGTGCTGGTGGGAGTTTGGGGTGGGTGCCTCGAGACGCCTGCCACTTCAGTCTCTGAGTAACAGGAAGGCTGCGGAGCTGGGTTTTCTTTTTGGGTTTATTAACCCAAAGTGAGCAGCGACGCCAGTCTGGAGGTGCTGGCTGCGTGCCATGCTGAGGGTGATTCAGAGCCATAAAACCCAGGCCTGTGGCTGTGTGTAACGGCTGTGCGCTCAGGGCAGGGGTGGCCGGGGCTGGGGGGGCCACCAGCCCAGCCTGGGGGTGTTAGCTGAGCTTTGCTGCTGCAGTGCTGATCGTAAAGGTAGTGGTGTGAGGGGAGTGTGGGAACTGGCCCCCGCGCCCCGCTGCAGAAGCACCGGCTCCCTGCGGTAGAATGTTCTCCTGAAATGGGTTTTGGCCAGACGGGATTCAAGGAAAATTAGTTTCTTGGTTTGATCAGAGGAGAAATCAAACTGATATATATGGAGGGGGAGTTGCAAGCTTTAGCTGAGTGGGATTTGATCCAGCTAACTCTCCTGTCTGTTCCGTTGCCAGGGCTTTCCTTCGATTAGGTTAGTAATGTGCAAAGTCCAGGGATCAAATATTCCTGTTGTGCTTCAGCGTGCAGTGACTCAGTGCATAGTCATGCATTGTGCATAAACAGCAAGTGGAAGGGGGTAAGAACAAGAGCCTCTTGGCTGGGATGTCTTGTGGTGAGCAGTGCAGCCTTGACTTGGTGCTTGGCTGCCTCTACTGTGTGCTGAAAGCTCACTGCGAGCATATAGAGTTCAGACAGTTCCTTAAATCTCTGCCCCTTAGTAGGGAGTAGGGTAGAGAGAGCCTACACTGCATCACATTCCTTGACCTGCCAGGCCATGCAGCCAGGGAGAGCTTGTAGGTAGGGCATGGAGCTGTCTTACTGCACACCACGTACAGGGCTGGGCTCCTCCTGGAGGAACCACATGAAGGTTGCCTTGAGCTGTCACAGGACAGGAGATAAAAGTAGGAGTCACCACCACACGGGCCTTGCTGTGGGACAGCACAAGCTCTTTTTTGCCTGCCCATCAGGTTAGATCCAATCTTCTCGGGTCTAAAGGCAGCCTGGAATTCCCAAGCTGTTCCTGGGATCTCAGATGTACCGGTGGCGGGATAGCACTGATGCTTCCTACTTCAGAAAGGCAGGTGTGGCAGTGGAAGTTGGTGCCTGCTTCTCAGCTCAAGATCTCCATGCTGGACATTCTTAGCTGGCATCTCAGGAAGAGACTTTGCTTATCTTGTCTGTTGCAAAAGCCTGAGTATGCTGAAGTCCTGTTAATGAAAGTCGAGAAGGGCAGGAGTAGAGACCTGAGGGTATCTTTTCTGTGGTGTTCAGTGTTTCCCAGCTGAATGCCAAGCAATGTCTTACATGCATCATTTAAAGATTAAAGCGCTGAACTTCTGCAGTAAAAACAGAGGCTTAACTAGCTGTGAGGCAGGTCGAGCTCAGAGGCAGTGAGCAAGTCCCATCTTTTGCCAGCTGCTGCTGAACCTCCATGTAAAAGTCCGCTACTGGGCCCTGCTCTGACTTGGCCCAGGGGTCAACAATGTGGAGATCTCTGGTCAGCAGCAGCCTGAGGTGGGCTCTGCAGTCGGAAAAGCAAGATGTGAGCCTGCAGCTCTGCAGAGTCCCAGCGCTGTCACAGCTGTTTGGCTTCTGTGTTTTCTTAGCTCAGCTGAGGTTTGCTGCTAATGCTGCCTGCTACCGGAGAGCCTGGAAAGGTGCTGGCTGTGAGAGACTCGTGGCCACCCCAGGTGGGTGAGAGAAGCACCCAGCTAAGCATCTGGTTCAGCTGAGATCTGCAGGAAAGACCCATGCAGCATTCCTATTTCTGCTTTAAGCAGCTAAGAGCAAGGAAAATTGGAAGGCTAAAGCAAAGGGCTCAGCTATTTAGGGAGCAGAATGCACTGGTGAGGTTTGCCTGCTTTGAACTCCCTCACTTTTGAAAAACATGGTTGCTGTATTGTGCACAGAGTGCTGCCCAGCCCCACAAACACACCCAGCAGAAAGGGGGATCCAAAGCAGTTCCAGCACCACGCTCCTCTTGCGATTAGCACTCAGACCCTGCTGTGCTAGCAAGGAGCAGAGCTAGGGGTTCAGCAGGGAAGGAGCTAAACTCTCCGTAATCCTGGGCTGCTGAGGTGGTGATAGCATTAAGAGCCAATGTATGCTCCCAGCTGCCCGCAGTGCGCATAAGCCAGGATGTTTTGCTAACAATCCCTGGAGCCTTCCTGACGGTCTGTGTGTGCTTGCTTCTCTGCAGAAACAGATGAAATTCCTGGAGCAGCAGCAGGAGGATAACAGAAGTTCAAGGGAAGAGGCCCGCCGCCTGCGGAACAAGCTGAAAGCCATGGAGCGGTGAGATCCTGGGCCTCGCGGACTGGGCTGCGTGTCTCTCCCCTTCTCCAAGAGGAAGGGAGAGGTCCTGCTGTTCTTGCTGCACCTCCCAGCCCCACGTGCTGGGACTGCTGGGCCTCCTTACCCCATAAGGCTGGAAACTGCTGCATTAGCAGGCTTTGCCTGGCTGTGCTCTCAGCCCAGCCTTCTTTCCAGGCAACTGCTCTCCCTGAACAGCAGCAGGACATGATACTCTGTGCAGACTGTCCTTGTTTCCAGGCCTCCAAGCATAGCTATGTGCTGTTGCTATTAGCGGAGAGGGTTCTGGGGCAAAGCTCAAATCCCAGCCTGGGAATGAAGTCAGCTGCATGGGTATAGGGCCTGCAAGTTGATTTGTCAGTTCCAAGTGTAGCGTGTGTGTACAGCTGTCTCTTCTCTAGTCCATGTAGTGCTACTCTGTCCTGGCAAAGATACCCTCCTTGTAGAGTGGTTGCATCTCTTTGCCACCCCTACATCCAGGAGCTTAGCCTGTGTGGGCTCCCCACGGGAAGCAGGGCTGCAGCCTTCATCCCTGCTCTGTTCATGACTCATGAGCTGAAGGTACGTTTCCTTATTTTATTGCAGGATTGAATTGTTGCTTCAGAGCCAGCGCCCCGAAGTGGAGGAGATGATCAGAGAGATGGGAGTTGGGCAGGCAGCAGTGGAGCAGCTTGCAGTCTATTGCGTCTCACTGAAGAAGTGAGTGCTTCAGGCTCGGCATGGGCTGCTTATGCTGGCCTGGGCTTGTGGGAAGAGAACGTGTTGCTGAGTCCCAACAGACACACAGACACTGCGGGGCTCTCGTCCCTGTTTGGGCCTCCTTTAGGTTTTGGCTGACAGATCCTGGGGACCTAGATTGGAGCCTGTCACACTGAACCGTTCCTGTTGTCACTGCAGTGACACGCGTGTCACCATGGGAACTGTCTCCAGAGCTGTCAGTGCACCTATGCAGTGATTATCATCCCCTCAGTTCTCTTTTCACGCCTGGGGGGAAATGGGAGGATGAGGAGCTCGGGGCTGCACCCTCTGCTGCGTTGCACAGTGCAGCTGTGGCCTGAAGTGCTCTGAGCGCGCCATGCTCTGGCATGTGGGATCTGCAGTGCTGCCATCCCCTACCTGGAAATGCTTCTGGTCCTGCTGAGCACAACCACAGCTTCTCTGGGTCCGTTCTGATGGCAGCTGAATAACGGCAGCTTTGATACAAAGCTGTAATGAGGCAAGTGTCCCTGTGGTGTAATTGGGAACAATGTGCTTGGCCAATGGTATGAAGCCTCTGTAAAGTCATTTAAAGCAGAGTTCTCTATTTGCTGCAAGTACAGAGGCTGCTCTGTTTTTTGTCTCTCTCTTCTGCTGGCAACTGTAATATTTCTGAATCCAGTTTCCATTTCGTTGGTGAATCCTGTGCATGCCCTGCTCCTAGGCATGGCATCCTCTGCAGATGTTTTTCCCTGCCATGTGTGATGATGTTTGTTACACTGTTGGTTCATCTTGGTACGCTCAGCTCAGCTCCCTTTAGGATTTTGTATGTCCTGGGTTTTCTTCGGTGGTTCTGCAGCTGCACATCTTCAAATTGAGGGCCTCTAGTAACTTCTAGCTCAATCCTCTTCAAAGGCAGCATGACTCTTCTTCTCTCTTTTCAGGGAATATGAGAACTTGAAGGAGGCTCAGAAGATCTCTAGTGAGATGACAGAGAAGCAGAAGAAGGAGCTATTCTCTGTCAACAGTAAGGTAAAAGGAGAACATGAGAGATGTAAAGGTGATACCTGGTCAGCAACTGTGCTCCCAGCCCTGTGCAGTGACCCCCTCCCACAGTGAGCTCTCCTTAAGCAGTACAGCTGGCATGGAAGTGTCAGGCAGGGGTTTCTGGGTCAGAGTATGATGCTGTGTGTAGCTCATGGGCTGTTATTAGCACTGTGGACTCTGAGGATGTCATTGGGGTAGGATGTGCAGAGCCAGCCTGGGCTGGAGCACAGCAGCACGCAGGTGATGCTCCAGAAGCAGCGCTGCCTTTGTCCTGCCAGGCTTGAGCGTGAGCTTGTTCAACCACCAGTCCTTTATGCTGCAGTCAGGGCCCTGGGAGGAATGAGGTGTGAGCCAGCACCAGCTGAGCAGGGCTTAGCCCTGTCTTGGCACAAGATATGCCCCTGCTGCTGTGCTGCCCCTGCTCCAGCCTGGCTGGGCCCTGTTGGCCCAGGCTGGGAATTACTGTTTCAGTAGCAAGTTGCCATGCTAAATGCCTGCATTGCTCTCCAAGGAGCAGGTGTTCCCTGGGGTGTGCCAGAGTCCAGGCTCAGAAAGTGAGAGACTGTGGGTGGATTTGGCCTATTTTTGTTACCTAGCCATAGCTGTTATGGTCCCCTCAAACAGAGGAGGAGGTTCTTGGAATACCGAGCTGCTCCTAAGTGAGTTAACTCTCTACAAGAAGTGTTGCTGCTGGAGCTGACCTGTTTGTGGCCGAGTCTGTGCCAAACTACAGTCACTAACTTGGGTCAGGAGGATGCGAGTCAGCGCGCTCGGCTTTGGCTGACAGAGGGCTGACTGTGCTGTCACTCTGTGGGCTGGCCCAGCACCTGACCCCGCTTCAAGCCCCTGTTGTGGTGCCAGGCCACCTCTCAACCTCCGGCTCCTGGCACTCTCTGTGCTGAATCAGGCTTGTCAGTGTGCCAGCACTGCTGATGCACAGCCGGCGTCCGGCCTGTGGTTTGTGATGCTGTGATGTGGTGTGTGCTAAGGCCTGCAGGAATTCGGGACGGAGCCACCAAGTGTTAGAACGTGGAAAAGCTGGTACTGTCGGGCAGAGATGCTGTGGGAAGACTTAAGCTGGGCAGACAGCCCTGGAGATCCCTCTGCAGGCAGCTTGAGGAAATGAGCAGCAATTGGATTGCTCTGATTTGCAGACTGCCATGGGAAAATTGAGCCCGAAAACAGGAAAATAGTGTGTGCCATGGAGCACATCGTTCCCGTGGGGATTCATAGTCTCCCTTACCTGTGTGTTGTAATCGGCACTCTGCTCTTTGGTGTTATTTATTCTGCAGCTGCAGAAAACAGTTTCAGAGTTGGAGAAGACAAAGGAGGAGTTAAAGAGCACCCAGAAGGATTTGAAGAATGCAGACAAGGAGATCTTGGTGAGAATATCGCTCCTCAGCCTGCAGTAACTGGCAGCTGGCCACAACCTTCAGCAGCAGTGCCAGGAGCTGTGCTGGGTTTTGCTTGGATCTGCCCACCTTACTGCTTTCATCTGCCCCACCTCTGAGCTCTGGCCAATGCTCAGTTATGGGAGAGGGGTGAAGGACCGGCTGCTAAATCTTTTCTTGTCTCACTGCCTTTCCTCTTCCCTCTAGAGTCTGAAGAAGAAGATAGACATACTGCAGGACACTCTGAAAGTGCCATCTGTAACTAGAGAGACGCTCAGCCGGCTGGTCTTTGAGAGGTCAGTGCGGTGCATCCTCGGATACAGGCCAAATATAGCAAATAGCATGTCAGAGTGAGGGCACCAGCAGTTTAACTAAGTACTGACTGGGAAGGCAGGAGCATGCTGGTCTGGAAGGCGTTGCCATAGCACAGTCATCTTTCTTCTTGTATTTTTTGTTTTCTTGCTGCTGACAAGACAATGTTTGGATTACTGAAAAAGTGTGTATTTTGGTGGGTTTGCAACAGGTTGGTATGGAAGAAAGAAGGAAGTTTGGACAAACTTCTATCATTCTGCCCCGCCAGGGAAATATCCCTAGAGCTTCTCTTCTGGTTGCCTCAGGGTTGGCCTTCCAGCAAGTATGCCCTGATATACAGGGGCTGGAGATCTTCGCCAAGCAAAGGAGTTCAGAATGATTAAGGCTTGGTCTGGCATCCTTTATATTTTAGTGAGCCTCTTTCTGGCAACCTGTGCTATGAGCCCAGTACAGCAAACTGGGTTGTGTGTGCTGAGCAGAAGTGTGCTGGGCTGTTTGCCTGGGCTTGGACTGCTGCTGTGAGCAGTGGTGTTTGAAGGTGGAACAGTGGTTTGAGACATTGACTATGGACTGTGGGGTTTGAGTTGTTCTTTCTGGAACTTGTAAACAGAATGTGGTTCAGATCTTAATCTTACTTCTGTCATGATAACTAAATGATGTAGCTTGTAGCTCCCCCTCCTCTTCTGTCTGATGGGTGGCAACTTCTTGATGGCTGATGCTTTGCATGGCCTTGCAGCCCAACTCCTGTTGAACTGCAGCACCCGAGGCTCCGCCGTCCAGCTCACAGTGATGAGATCAACCTAGATGATGCTTTTGATGTGGACACCCCTGAAAATCAGCCCTGCAGATCTCCATTCAGTGCTGCAAAAAAGCAGAAGCTGGATAAAAAGCAGTGAGTTTGTCCTCTTCTTTCTAAAGGAGATGAAAGTCTCTGTGCTTTGGAAGCTGCTGTGTGAGATCAGATGCTCTCCAGCTGCCTGATGTCGCACTGCAAGCTTTTTCGTCATTTGCTTTGCCTTGTCTGTCCTTGCCAGCTCCAGTCAAACAATGAATCTCTGCTGACTCGCTCCTTGTGCTTCTTACAGGCCTCCCGTGGTAAATCTGGCAAAGAAAGCTCTAAAGGAAACAGTGGAGGTAAAAGGACTGATCTTGTTTGCTGTATCACCTCTTCAATTCTGCTATTAATAAGCTTGAGATAAAGGCCCCATTTCCCTGTGCAGGAGATGCTCTGGCTGGAGGTTGGCCTATCTGCTGCACCACAGTACATATTTCAAAGCACTCTGCTTGGCTGTCTCCTAGAGACGCTGTTGCTGCCTCAGAGGCCTCCTGGAATTGGGCAGGGGGCACGTGCTGCTTGCAGATTCTCCTGCATCAGATGTGCTTGGCAAACACGCTGTGGGCTCTGCCTGTGAGGGCTGTGGGTCAGCTGTCCCCTAGGCATTGCTGGATGCAATGTCCTGCCTCCCAGGCATGGCTCCAAACGAGCCCCAGAGGGAGGCTTGGAGGTACTGTTCTTTGACCTGATGTGCTACAGGACTGCCTGTTACCTTAAGCAAGTGCCCGCATACAGACTGCATTCAGCAGGTGATGCTGCTTAAAGAGCTTTTCTCATTATTCTGTGGGACAGAACTGGGGAGATGATCTGGAGGACGAGACTCTGAAAGGATTCCTGCCAGCATTCATCAGAAACTCAGTTTTCTCCAAGAAGCCCGTGTCAGGTAGCTTGCTGCGGCCCCACACGAACATGGGCAAGGTGAGTAGTGCTGTTGGTGAGCTCGTCTGGCACTGCACTCTTCTGTCCTGAGGTTACCCTACAGGAGGAAGCCAGTGAGGCTTTTACCTTGCCACATTCAGCGTAGGGAGAGTAAATCTTGGAGTGCAACCTGGCTGCCTCCCAGTCCTGCGGAGCTCTGGAGATGACAGATGGTCATTCCCTACCTGGCAGCAGATTAAATGGCCTTATGTATCCAGTTCCACCTCCTTGGAGTGTTGGGCGTTTTCCTTGTGTGTATCAGTCCCACTGAAAAAATCTGAAGCTTTGCTGCAGTCTTGAAGGCTCAGCTTACTTCAGAAAGGTACTCAGACTTCACTAATACCCTTGGGCCTGCCTTTTTCTGAAGGTGAGGGCTTAGCACAAGGACTGAGTGTTTCCAGGTGCTTGTAACCTGTCCCTGGAGCACGTGGCCTGTGAGGCTTTCTGCTGACCGAGACAAGAAGTAGCCATGGCTCTGTGCTGCTCCATTCACGTTTGTTTGTCTCTCCTAGGTGAGGATGGGATACGATGGCTTGGGAGGCAGAACCAAGTTCATACAGCCTGTATCCTTTCCTGCAGCTTGTGTGGCAGTAGTAATGCTGTGAGGCACCTCCTCTGTTCCTCCTGTCTCAGCCAGCTTGGTAGCCTGGGGCAGAGCTTCCCAAACTGTGGCTGGGACCTTCAGGGAATCACCATCACGTTGCTCTGCATCTGATTCTGAACAAGCCCAAGCTCAACAGAGACAGCAAAGGCATCAAAGACCTGAGCTTACTAAGAACATTAATATTTATTTTGTCTCTGAAGATTTGTACAATGCCATCACAGGCAAGGAGAACTCCTTACTCTAAGATCTCTGCCCCTGGAGTGTCACCGTGCCCTGGGAGGCCGCAGGTTCTGCCTACTGTCACTTTGTCTGCCCAGTATCTCAGCTCTGATATGCAGGGTAGATCTTGAAGCTCTGTTGGTTGTGCTTTGACATTGCTTTGTGCACTAGGGCATAGCATGGAAGTGGAAAGTGTGGGATAGGAGTGTGCCTGAGATTTGCTTCTGTGGGTAGGGGCAGAGCCCAGCCTGACCTTCAAGGAGCTTTTCTTTGAGTAGTTTAATTTTCCTGGAGGGAGCCTGCAGAGATGGAGTCCAACAGCCCATCTCCTTGGGACAAAACGAAAGTTAAAGCATATTATTAAGGGTGTTACTAAAGTGCCTCAGGGTGTAAGAATGTGGCTGGGTCCCCGGTTCAGAGCTCAGGCTGCTCTGGAGCAGGTCCTGTGCTGCTTAGAGCCTTGATGTGTGTGCTTCCCTTGACGGCCCTACCTTCAGACAAGCCCTACAGAGTTCCATCCCATAAGAGTGAAGAGCAAGAGGAATGTCTCCAGGCCAGCAGCAGCTGCTGCCCCTGAACGTGCCTGCAGCAGCCGGGCCAGCCTGGATGCTTTCCTGCAGTGAAGGGTTCGTGCCCCTGGGAGCAGCGGGGCTGAGTGTGCTTGCACAGAGCCTGGCCCTGCAGCGAGCCAGCCAGGAGCCCAACCGCCTGCCCAGTGCATGGACAGCTTCGTGCCTCCTTTCAGCCCCCCTCTCTCATTTCCATGCGGAAATTTAAATGGGGATTTCTCTTCTGCCAGCCTGCTCGCAGCTCTGTAGTTGCTGCTGCTGTTGGTCGCTGGAGGTGGAGCTGCACTGCTGGGCCGCAGCCGTGAGCTGCAGCTGCAGGAAGAGATCGTGGCTGGCTGCAGCCTGGGGGGCACAAGTGGGAAGAAAGGACCTGGTGCAGTGCTGTAAATAGTGCAGAGATCTTGCTGGGCCCAGGGTGCTGCTGCGGCACAGCTGTACCTGCTGCTGGGCCGCTCCCCATCCCTCTGCCAGGGCTGCAGCACCTGTGCCAAGGTGGGGTGTCCTGGGCCTTGGGCTGGGATGTGGAGCCTGGGCTGGGACAGAGGGGGGTGGTGGTGCCCCCCTGCCCTGCTCAGGAAGAAGCGCAGTGCCCCGTGCTGCTGCCCTTTCTCCTTTTGGCCTGTGTTCTGTAACTTCTTCTGTGTGAATTTCTATTTTTTTTAATGTGAATGTAGGCATTTTTGTCGTTCTTTCAAAGCCAGCCCAAGGCACGGTGCTGCTAGGTGGCCTCTCTGGGGCTGGAGCTCTCCTGGCCCCAGTGCGTGGTTCCCATCCCCACCTGCTGGAGGCTGGGGGGCCGGGCTGGCTGCAAACCTGTTGAGGGAATAAAAGAATTGCTCTGCATTGGTACTGAGCGGCCTCCCCTGCCTCCCTCCCGGCGCCGCCGCGGGGGGCCCCGCGTGACATCACCGTGCGGCGGGACGCGGCTGCAGGCCGTGACGTCACACGGCGGGGCGGCGCTGATTGGCGGGCCGAGCGCCGCCTCCCGGAGCCGCGCGTGACTCCGAGGGGCGGAACCGCGCGTCGGTCCGCGCCGCGTGACATCCCGCGGCGATCCGTGACGTCACGGCGGGGCCGTGCGCTTATTGGCTGTCGAGTGTAACCTCATGCGGCGCCGGCCGCTCGTTGGCCGCCGAGGCGTGACGTCGCGGCCGGCCGCCTCTCGTTCGGTCGCTCGGCCTCGAGCCGGCGGGGCGCAGGGCACCGCCTGGCGGCCGCGGGGGATACGCGACGCCGATTGGCGGCCGGGCCCGGAGGGGCGGGGTTTTCTCCTCCGCCCTCGGCCGCGCCCCGCGCGCCCACCGCCTCCCGTCGGGGCGGCCGCCCATTGGCCGCGCGTGCCCGCGCTCGGCGGCTCGAGGGCGCGCGCGCGTGCAAGGGGTCGGCGGCGCATGCGCGGGGCGACGGGGTCGGCGGCGACGGCGGCGCGGGGCTGATGGCGGCGGAGGCGGCGCTGCGCTGAGGAGCGGTCCCGCCCGGCCCGCCATGGGCAACGAGGCCAGCCTGGAGGGCGGCGGCGCCGACGGGCACCCGCCCTCCGCCGCCGCGGCCCCGCCGCCGCCCGCCGCCGGCCCCGCCGCCTCTAAATCGCCTTCAGCACCGGGCGGCGGCGGACAGCTCCCGGGGCCCGCGCCCGCCCCCGCCCCGCCCGCAGCCAGGTCAGAGCGCGGGGCCCGGCGGCGCGGGGCGGCGGGGAGCGGCACGAGGGGTGTGCGTGCAGCCTTACGGTGTGCGTGCAGCCGTACGGTGTGCGTGCAGCTTTACGGTGTGCGTGCAGCGGTACGGGGTGTGTGTGCGGCGATATGGTGTGTGTGTGCAGCCTTACGGGTGTGTGTGCAGCCTCACAGGTGTGTGTGCAGCTGGACGGGTGTGCATGGGGGGAGGTATGTGGGTGGTGTGTGGGGCACGGGAGCACCAGAGGAGGTGTGCACGCGGGGCGTGGGTGGGGTTCGATGTGGAGCAAAGCGTAGGTGTGCATAGGGAGCAGGTGTATGGGGTGTAGGTGTGCAAGCAGAATGTGTGTGTGTGTGTGTGTGCACGGCATGCAGGAGCAAAGCGTAGGTGCAGGTGTGCACGGTGCGCAAGGGTGCGAGGCGTGGACGTGCATGTAGGGTGCGGGAGCATGCATAGGTGGGTATGCATAGGTGCAGGTGTGCTTGGGGCACAGGAGCGGTGCAGGCACACGGGGTGCAGGTGTGGGGCCAGGCAAGATGCGGGTGCACGGGATGCTGGAGCAGAAGGCTGTAGGTGCAGAGTCGAGGAGTGTAGGCAAGGGGGGTTGCAGGCACGCAGGGTGTGCGTGGGTGCACGGTGGGGTGCACGCTTGGTGGGTGCAGCGGGTGCTTTGCTTGCAGGTTGGGGGGTGCAGGCAGGCTGGGGCTGCAGGGGGAGCCAGAGGCTTGGGGGCTGGCGTGGAGTACGGGGTGTGGATGGGAACGGAGTGCCGTTATGCAACGGGAGTGATGTGCAGCCCCGTGGTGTCGAGCTGGTGGTGCCGTGCTTGTAGGGTGACGCTTTGGGAACGGGTGGCTGGGGGCGTCCCTTTAAAAAGCACACCCTAAAACATCATCATCCTCTCGAGAAAAAGAAAGGTGGAGGGCAGAAAGTTGCAAGGAGGGCTGTGGTGGGGCCCTGCGGCTCTGCTCCTGTTGGCCCCAGTGCTGCTCCGTGGACTGGGAGCGCTGCTGGGCTCAGCATGGTGCCCCACTGCTCTGAGCCAGCTCTGTGCCAGCTCCCATAGAGACAGCGTGAGAAAATAACCCCCCAGGGGATATTCTGTCCCTTTTCCTTTCCGTTTTCCCATTTTCTGTTGCTGAAGAATCTCCGACTCCTCAGCCTCCCACTCTCTTCCAGCCATAACTTGTTCGTAGGCTGCTCGCGACGCTTCAAGATTAAATGCTGGCACAAAAGGGAGGGTGCTGTGGGGGAGCATGGGGGGTGTTTTCCTCCCTCCCTCCTTCCCTCCTTGGGGCTGTGCTGGGTTCTCCAGCTGAGGGCGGAAGCTCCGTGGCTGCTTTGTGGGAGCAGGAACGTGGCAGGGCCTGGTGTGGGGTTGTGCTCTGCCTTTCTGGTGAGCTGTGAGTGGTTCCAACGTTGGAGCCCGGCTGTGGGTGCTCTGAGGGATCCCTGGGAGGATGTGGGGATCCAGCACAGCTCAGCCCCATTGCCACCAGTAGCACTGGACCACGCCGTGTCCCCACTGTTCTGCACCATAGGATGGAGCACCCGGAGCCCATGCACCAGCCCTGCAGAGCACTGGCTGTGGGTGCAGAGCTCCTGCAATAGGGCCGGTCCGTGAGCAGGGCACGTGGTGCTGGAACCCCCAGGGAGAGCTGTGCAGAGGCCGAATTGCTGCTTGGGGTTGCACCCTGAATGGGGATTTCCAGCATGGAGTGATAGCAAGTGGAGGCTCAGAGCACAGTGCTGGGATGATGCTGCCTGGTGCAACCCTATGCTGGTCACTGCTGGGTGCTAACATGGATCTGCCTATCTCTTAGGAATCAAAGTTACGTTTTCCTGGCTCTTGCTCACCATAAGGCTGGTGCTTTAGAGAAATCTGCTGGGTTGCTGTGCTAAGTAAGCACATCTGTGTTTGTACGAAGCATCTGGAGCATCAGGGATGCCAGTGCTGGGGTTAGGTGGGGAGAAGACCAGGTCTGTGGGATTTCAAGCTCATAAAACATGTGTGTCATATCAGAAGAGCACAGAATGGATCACTTGGCTGATGGAGGCAAAATATTTGCTGTGTTAGACACAGCAGCTCCATGGCCTTGGGTGTGGGTGCACCCCAGTGTGCTGGCTGCTTCCTGAGCTCTCCTGTAAGCGTGCTCGTCCATATCCACAGTGCTCAGCACGCATCCATGCCTCTATTTCCAAAACAAACACACAGACCTGCAGTCTGCCTGGTGGGTTCCAGTTTCCTGCAGCTGGAAGGAGCCCGGCGTTCCCCTGCAGGCGATGCTGCCCTGAGCTTGCTGTGCCCAGGGCTCGTGCTGCATGGCTTCTGCTGGCTCTCCCCCACCCCGTGGACCCAACGTTCCATCCCACTCCCACATCAGTGCATGTGGGGTTTGGTGTTGGTAGGCAGCTCGAGGTGCTTTGGAGGGTGCCTGGCGTGCCTGCAGCTGAATGCAAAGATCGGATTGTCACGTTCTCAGCTGCAGACAGAGCAGAGCTGCTCTGTGCTGCTCCCAGGGTTCACCTCCCTCAATACGTGTGCTCTGGAATGCACTTTTTTCCATTTCAGTATGAAAGATGAGATTGCTTTTAATTTCTTTTCTTCCAATCCTACTTACATCAGCTGTTATTTGGCTCCACAGCTGGGCTGAGGAACCGTGGGAGCTCTCACCCGTTTCTCACAAAGCCCACAGACTGATGTCTTTAAACGCACCTATTAATCTTCTTAGGGAGACAGTGGCTGTTTGGCTAGGGGGAAGGGAGCGTTCCTTCTTGCTTTTCTTTCCTTAAACACTAACATCTGAGTTAAGTGGCAAAGCTGATGGCTTGGAGCCTTCCCAGGTCCTTCTGTGGTGCGGCCATGCAGCGATTGCAGCACGTGCTGATGTTTGGTGGTGTTGCTGTGGGTTGGCAGCTCGCTGTATGTGTGTCCGGCTCTGTGCTGCTTGGCCAAGCTTGGGGCATCCAGTGGGTCCTCATGGGAAGAGGTAACAGCTGGATAGGTTTTAGTAAGAAAGCTGTGTTTTCCTGGATAGTGAGTTTCCTGCAAGGAAGGTGCACCTGATGTTGAAGGATGGTCTGGTGTGTGTCAGGCTGACAACAGGCCGTGCTCTCCTTGAGATACATTGGTTTTTCCCATGTTTCCTTACCAGCTTTGTCTCACGCCCAGGGATCTGGGACCCTTTTTCACCCATGCGCAGCACAGTTCCATGTTGGACAGGGCAGGGGTGGCTATTGGCACCACAACTGCTCTGCCATGGGTCCGGGGAGCTGCCGGGCCTCGGTGTCCCTCAGACCTTGCAGACCTCCTCTGCAGGAGGAACGTGCATGCTGCAGGAGCATCCTGAGAGGATGGTGAGCTGGGCGTCCTCCTGCCTCCAGCACGACCCTGTGTGCCAGATGTCTGCAGCAGATACGCTGGAGCACACCGTGTCAGGGCTGTATGGCTGCCTTTCCAGTGCACCCACATTGCTGTATGTGAGCAGCACTGCGTTCTGCTTGCAGCACTGCAGAGCACCCTGTGCTGCTCAGCGCCTGCCCCTCTTTAGGGCAGCTCTTTGGTCCTAAAGAGTGGAAATTTCCACGCCAGTCCTGTATTCCTGCATGTCAGGCTGCTGTTTGCTTGGGTCCAGCA